TAGTAGAAGTGAAGTTGCTTGCTTCTGGCAACACTTTCCTCTGGTATCCTGTTTCCCAAAACACTTCTAAGAGGTTACTGTCTTGATTGCTGCTTCCTGTCTGCTTAGATGTTGACTCTGGACTTGCCTGCCGGTGCATCAGAGGCCAGCTCCGCAGCTTTCGCAATAGCAAAGACCTCAGCTGAAATATACTGCGGTGATCCGGCAACTAGAAGGCTCTCTTATGCCTAACTCTGGACAGTATATTCCCTATCGTCCATTTTCGAGCCAGCAGTTTGCTGTCCCATACTACCCCAAGGAATAAAATTAGCTAGCGAGCTTAAAAGTAAATAAAAAAATGTCGAGCAAATTATTCCCTTACCACTACTGTTTCCAAATTAAATTTAAATAAAAAATGGTTCTTAAAGCAATATATTTTCAAATATTGCCCTGCTTATTTAGCGATAATTCAATATTATGTGTATATCACGCGTATTAATGAGTCAAGTGGAATAGATTTTGAAGTTCCCTCTAGGTTCATCCTTGATTAAGGTATGATCAAGCGTATTGATCATCAACCAGTCCTCCTATATTTAAATTTAATATATATATACTTTATTATATAATTTATAAAATATTTTGCTACATTACATACTTATATGTAAATATGTAAGAATGATTCATATGTATGTATACAAATTGCTAGCTACCTTGTGTAGCGTCAAGGGTATTTATGACGTTCCAATACAAGGTCACATTTTGCCGCCGGTCTTGAATGCTGAGTGTAAAACACAAATTGTTGACATAAATAATGCATAAAAATACATATTAACATACATAAAAAGGAGTATATAACAAAATGGTTGAACACCTAATTGTAACAAGATTTTGAAGATATTTATTGAGATTTATCCAGCTTGATGCCTTAAGGCTTTTGCTCTTGAAGCTTCTGTTTGACATTTTAAGTACTTTGGAAGTGAACTCGCACAGTGGCTTTTATATTATTAAAAAAATATATATATATATGTATATATATATATGTATGTATATATGCAGTATACTGCAATTTAAGTTTTAAACGAGCACTGTGCGAATTCATATAATTATAAATACATACATTTGTAGACACAGCGCAGCAACGAATGGCCAATTAATGTTTGTCCTACTTTGGATAATTCGATTATTTGTATTTGCTAAAAAATTACAATTAAAACCTCTTAAATTATTAACACAAAATAAACACGAAAATTGCATTTGTTCTCATACATAAATTCGTATTAATACGTGCAGTATGTACCTTGTGGTGAAGTTAACTAAGTAGTTATTAGGTAGTTTGAAACTAGTAACGTGGCAAACTAGTCAGCGAACTTTTCTTGTAGGTATTTCTTAGAAATTTGCTGTTTTTAATAACTTACGACAAATGTCAGATATAGGCATTTGCAAAGGAAACGCATTACACATTATTGACTTTGTTTATGTGTCGTATACTTTTGGTTGTGCGCATATGTCCGTATTTTTCCAAAAATTGCGTCATTCAGTCAATAAACGGTTGCTAAAGCAAATCGAGAAAGTCACGGAGGCCCAAGTGAAACAACGTGCCAAAGTTGATTTCGTCACTTCATAAACGGCAATTTCTTTATTATCATTGTCCGCGGAAGGAAGGTCAAAAACTTCGAAGACGGTGAAATGGAGAAGTTGCGATGAGGACCCGTGTTAAATGCAAGAAGAGCACTGATAGCTACAAATCGCCTAGCCAATTAAAAGCCACTACATGCGTCCTGAATGCTTCACAAACAAAAAATTCGGCTTCCATATGTTCTTAGTACCGGGCGATGCATGAAAGCGCGATTTTGCTGCATGATAACGCTAGACCTCACGTTGCTAAACTTGAGGTGGATCGATGGCACATGGGTTGACTAGCGATGGACAATACTTCGCATAATTTATTTGTAATCATTTCCTTACAATGAAAACACACCTTCATTAGAAAACAGCGATAACTTAGTTGCACACCTACATATTAGTTTATTTTCAGTAGGAAAACTCTACTTCCAAAGTAATATTTGCTAATTAATCGATTTTGCAAATGCAAGTTTTTATAACCAATTCGATTTATCTCAGTAAACCCATAATATACCATACATATAAACATATAAAAATACTATTCAATCTAGGCTAAAATAAATCAAATTAATTAGTATTCTCACTGCATGTAGAAAAATCTTAAAAAAAAATGTTATGTGTAAAAAAGTTCTGCAATCAAGTAAGGAAGGACTATGTTCGAGTGAAACCGAACATGCCATACTCTTGCAATTTGCCAGTACCAAAGTCAGGGAAATAACCCAAACTACAAAAAGTGAACCACACACCAAGGGCTTCCACAAGCGGACAGACGGGCAGTCACTCGGATTTCAACTTCTCTCGTCATCTTGATCATTTATATATACATATATGTATAATCCTATATCTAACTCGATTAGGTTTAGGTGATACATACAACCGTGAGGTGCACAAAACTATTATACTCTGTAGCAACATGTCGCAATTGTATAAAATATGGAATAAGGTTGCTGCCGGCTTTTAACTCAATTTGTCCATTCACAGCTCGCTATTTATTCTCTCTTGTAGAAATTATTGAATTAAAATGGTTTACCTGCTTGATAGTTGTATCTACTTGATTATGTCAGTGTATTTGATTTATACTAGTTGTTTGTTCGATTCGCTAAGAGTTGCACGCTGCAATTACTAATATACAAAGTAATATAGACGCACAAATAATATCAATGTTTTCAGCTTATGAAAAATAAATTTATTCTTATCACTTCCTCAATTTTATTTTTCAAACATATTACACTTTTTCATGCAAAATTAGACGAAAAAAAATTTGCGTAATTTTCATCCCATTGGAATTAATCCAATCACAGATGACTGAAAAAAATTGAGCGCAAATTATCTCATCAGGAAGTCATCAAATTTCAATCATAGAAGAAAACAAGTAAGGAAGGGCTAAGTTCGGGTGTCACCGAACATTTTATACTCTCGCATGACAAGTTTCATCATGATATCTCAATTTTTACTCAAGTTACAGCTTGCACGGACGGACGGACAGACAGACATCCGGATTTCAACTCCACTCGTCACCCTAATCACTTTGGTATATATAACCCTATAACTGACTCTTTTAGTTTTAGGACGTACAAACAACCGTTATGTGAACAAAACTATAATACTCTCCTTAGCCACTTTGTTGCGAGAGTATAAATATAGTATATATATATGAGATAATATTTATGCAAAATCTAAAGTATGAGGCTACATACGAAAACAAGAACAACTGCTAATTGTAAATATAATAACGGTGTATAAGGTTTTAACAGCAAGCAGTCGAAAAAGTATCCAGTCTATACATTTTTCGGTAGAAGTGTGAAAGCTTCTGTAGTTCCTTTTAACGGGTGATCCATATATAAGTACTTTTTTCAATAGCATGTTTTCTTAGATCACGCGTGAGTCATATCAAGCTGTCATGATATTTTTGTTTAGTATTGTTTGGATTTTCATCACGTAAAGACATACGCCTTAACAACGTTTACAAATCATTCAACTTTATTAAGAAAATTCATGTTCTGTAAATAATGTTATGGTCAAAATAATCGGCCTACTAAGTTTACTATAACCCAATACCCAAAACCATCACCCATCTTGAGATCCAGCATACATTATTGAATAATATTGAACCGAATAGACCACGTCCAGCACACATTGTACACTAAGGCCGTGGAGAGTCGTTTTAACGCCGTTCGCAGCAACTTGAACTGATATATGAAACAACTAGTCGCATTTTCTTTCGAAATCTTAAGTGGAAAGCGTAGAAAATACAAGCGACATTCCTTCGCTACATAAGCTGTTGAAATGTTCCAAGAAGATCCAACGCTTTCGAGCCAAATTTGGTTCAGCTTTGATATGGTTTGTTGGCCGGTGGAAACATTTCTTCAAAGATTATGACTGGGAGATAGTAACCGTTAATGGCGACCGTTATTTCTATATGATAACCGACTATTTTATGCCCGAAATTGAAGCTCGTGATCTCGACAACATATGGTTACATCGCATCAGTCAATGGATTTATTGAGAGAACACTTCGGTGAGCAGATAATTCCATGTTTTGGGCCGATCGATTGGCCACCAAGATCTTGTTATATCATATCATTAGACTTTTTCCTGCGGGGATATGTAAAGTCTATGCGGACAATCTCGCTTCGATTCAGGTCTAGGAACAAATCATCACGGGTTTAGTTACTAGTCGAAATCCTCAACCAAGTTATCGAAAATTGGACTCAACAGATCTGAGACATAGCCGTGCCCAACATTTGAATTAAATAATATTCAATAAATAAATACTTAATAACGTTCTTTGTTTCTGTGTTTATTCTTTAAAAAAGTAGGCTACAGAACTTTTATTGTAAACGAAAATTAATGGAATAACATATATAATATTTAACTTTGTATGGGGTTTTGGTCATATGTTATGGTCATCTCAACAACTTCTTGTAAACATACTGTTTGTCGAGTCTTTAACGCCTTTCCTCTACACAGCTCTTCTTTATTTGACAGTAATGTATGTTAGTTCTTCAGTTCTATTTGTTGTATTTCCACATAACATTCAGGTATTCAATTGATCAAATTTTTCGCTTTGATTCGACAACTAACTTGCTTGACTTGCTGTAAAGCTTATTTCAAGACGGTGGGAAGCATTTGGGCCTTCGATTGATATTTAAGTGTTGAATAAAAAAGTGTGCATCATTTTGTGGTTTCGCTCACTATTGACGACAACGAACGCTACTCCATCTTGAGTTTTGAAAAAGTTTGAACTATATTATCTCAAACATATAAATCACACTAGGTTTAACTATTCACATTGAGAGCGGCCTAAAAAAAATTCATGTGAAATATATTCATTATAAATTTGATCCGAAGTTGCAAACAATGTAATTTACGCAAATATTTTTGTACTATATTTGCAGCTATTTCTCCGGTGAGCGCTCAATTTTGAACACCTAAACATGAAGCAAACCATCGAACAATTGGCCGATGCCGAGCTAACGGAAAACATGCTGAAGATTGCGAAACGCGAACTGCGTGAAGAGAAATGCTCGCGAGAACAAAGTCTGGAACAAATGCGCAACTGGGTACTTAAACACGAAGACTTACGAAATGTACGACTCGACGATCAATTTCTACTACGTTTCCTACGTTGCAAGAAGTTCAGCGTGCCTATGGCCCAGCAGACACTACTCAAATACCTGAATGTACGACGCACTTTCCCGCATATGAGCACACAGTTGGACTTTCTAGATCAAAAGTTGAATGACATTATCAGCAGCGGCTACATCTTCGCCTCGCCGAATCGTGACAAACACGGACGTCGTGTTGTGGTCATCAATGCCAAAGGCTTCAATCCAAAGATCTACAACAGCAGCGATCAAGCGCGTGCACATTTTCTCACCTACGAGTGTCTCATGGAAGATCAAGCGACACAAATTTGCGGACTTGTGCACGTCGGTGACTTTTCCGGCGTCACCACAACACACGTCACCAATTGGAATCCAACCGAATTTGCGCGCGTCTTCAAGTGGAGCGAACAATCGCTACCGCTGCGACACAAAGAAATCCACTTGGTCAATGTGCCAGCGACGCTGAAATGGTTAATCGATTTCGTAAAGGGACGTGTCAGTTCGAAAATACGTAATCGCCTCACGCTCTACACACAAGACAAGGAATTGGCAAAACATGTTGATTCAGCTTGCCTGCCACAAGAATTGGGCGGTCAAATGCCGCTTAAAGCGATAGTTGAACTGTGGAAGGCGGAATTGCTCGCCAAGCGTGAAACTATACTCAACTTGGATAAGATAGCGCTCTTAAGCGATCGCGGCATCTTGCGCAAAAGTAATTACAGTAGCGAAAAAAGCAGTAATGGCATGAATTTCGTGTCGCAGATCGAGTCGATTGAGGGCAGTTTTCGAAAACTGGAGTTTGATTAAGCCTCAAAGGGAAGTGGAATATAGGTTGCAAAACGAAAGAGGTGATGTCGTAGACGTTTGAGCCAAGCTCACAGGTGCTGTGTTGATGTGCGTGTTGTGTTAATTTACATTACTTAATGTTTAAGTTTAAGAGTTTTCCAAGAGGAAACAATTATAAACGATTTAGTTGGCGGTCAGAGAGGCGCCTTATGGAGTCTACGCTTCATTTGGTGGCTTTGTTTAGTATTAACTATAGAAAGTACGTGTGAAAAAATTTGAATTACATATATGTACAAACATATATTTATACTCATGTATAGTGTTATATGTGCTTTAAATACAAATATAATGCTTCGTGCTTTTGTGTAACTGCGTAATGGCTAAATAAATCATTTGCTTACTTTTTAAATAGTAAATTAAATTGTTTTTTAATTTTTTTCGCTTGATCTGGCATGAAAGAATAACTTGAGTACTCTACTGAACTTCATAATATCTGTGGATAGACACACAACCGTTGTGGCAAGCTCAGAGCACTTTTATGAGCCCCTTGAACTGCGTCCACTGGCTGATAGCGCCAAAGAGCGCTTTACCATCAACTTCGCTGTTTGTTAAGTTTTGTAAGCCGTAAATTTTGTACTGACGCTGGAGCTTCTTTTGCCGCACCGACTCCGCAATAAGTGATAATGTTGAGCGCAGCTGCAAAGCGTTGGGCGCCAGTGTTGTATAGTTGCCTTTAAGCGAGAGAATATTACATAAACTTCGTAGGTACAAGATGACAAACAGTCCTACCTATGAAAGCGATCACCAGCGTTGCATTTTGCGCCACCCAATTCAGACCGCTCTCGTAGTTCCAGCCGCGTGCTTCATATGTCTGCCGATCACCGCCGATCAGGAAGTTAAATGGCACCTCCTGCGCCATGCCAAGCTGCTTTTGGTACTGTTAATAAGCAGTATTGTAAAAAATAAATATTATTACTACTTATAATTTCTACCTGTTTTTGTAGTCCCTGCAGTATTTGTAGACATTTTTCCAATTTTTCACAGCCTGATCCACCCGTCTGCATTATAACAATATTTATGACGTTGGAAAAGTTGAGGAAGTCTGCAAGTGGCACGGAAACATTGCTCCAAATGTCACGATGCACGAGATCCAGCGAGAATTGCATGGCCGGTATGCGCGCTAAAAAAGATATTATAGGAGACCACTGTTAACGGATAACTCTACTAATTAAATTGTAAATAGAAATTAGGAAAAAATAAAATTATACAATTCCGTTAATAAACATTCTAATTTTTTGTGTTTTTAGCGTTCTGTTCAACTAAAGAGTGATCCATTTCGAGGTTCCCTACTTTTTCAAGGAAAAAAATACATAAACTTCAAATTTAATGGAGAATGTTTATTATATTGTCTGCTGACCGAAGTATTCTCTTTATAAATCCATTGATTGATATCCAAATGAGATCACGCAGAAATTTGAATCGATGATTTCACCGACCCACAAACCACAGCAAATCGTGACTTTTTTGGATGAAATGGCAGCTCTTGAATTTCTTTGGATTGCTCTTCGTTCGAAATACTACAATTTTACTTTTTTACATTCCCATTGAGCCAAAAACGGGTTTCATCGCTGAACAAAATTTGTCTTGAGAACGTCGGATCTTCTTGAAACTCTCATCTACCCCTGCTATATTTTCTGCGTGTTGAACGTGATTTATTCGGTTGAAAATTATTCATCTTCTGACCGAATATTTACTTCAGACGGTTCAATGGCCGCAAGAGACCAGCTCGCAGTAAGTGATTCCCTGCCAACGCGGACAAACACATGGCTAAACTTTTCCAACCTTTATTCCTGGTTTAGTTACAGTTTCCCCGTTCGCGCGTACAACCATGAGTGCTTCAAAAGTAGATCGAGCAGCAGCGATACGCAGATGGAAATTCCTCCTTAAAATTTTTTGTGTTAACTCGTGTGACAGCCATATATCAGTTTCCTTTCAATGGTACCAGTGAAGCAATCTCAAAGAGATCCGAGAATATTTTATTTTGTAGGAAATACTTCCTTTCTATCACCATACAGCGTATACTGATCATTCAATGCATGATATATATTTGTGAAGTTTACGGAGACGACGCTGTATCTGTTCGTGTAGCACATTGGTTCTGGAAATTTCGATGTGATGTGAAAAATAACCCTCGCTCTGGTCGACCTATCGTTGAAAAAGTCGATGAAATTATGGAAAAGAATGCCTAGAACCGTCACATCAAATAGTTTTGAACCATTTAAAAAAGGCTGGCTACAAAAGGAAGCTCGATGTTTAGGTACAACAACAATAGACCGAATTAACGTCTGCCATTCTTTGCTGAAGCGAAATGAAATCAAACCATTTCTAAAGCGAGTGATAACAGGCGACAAAAATACGATAATAGTGTGCGAAAAAGATCATGGTTCAAGCGTAGTGCAGCTCAACAAATGGTCGCAAAGCCAGGATTGACGCCTCAAAATGTTATGCTGAGTGTTTGGTGGGATTGGACAGGAATCATCCAATATGAGCTGCTTCAGCCTTTTAAAACGATTGACTCCATATTTTACTGTCAACAACTGATGAACTGATGTCAACAAGCAATTGAAAAAAGACGGCCAGAACTGAACAACAGAAATGGCTTCGTCTTCCATCAGGACAACGCTAGAGAACACACATCTTTGCTGACTCGCCAAAAACTGGGCTGGAATCTTGGCTGGGAAGTTTTGATGTATACCCCTTATATATATACTCGTATACTCGTATATATATATAGAAGCCTGTGAAAATTACTTGTCGCAGTTTTTCGCTGAGAAACCAGAAAAGTTTTCCACTGATCAAATAACATCTCTAGTGGAAAAATGGTAAATATTGGTTGACCAGAATGGTACATATTTGGTACATTAAAGATCATTATAAATATAAAAAAAAAATAAGTTGAGTTCGATTAGAAATATGAAAATACTTTTTCGACTACACAATAGCTTTCTTCTAAAAAATCAAACGTCCGATTGAGGTTTACTTTAGTCGACTCTATAGCAATATCGGATCTGTCGGGTATGATCCGAATATGCCGTTATTGTTGTGATTATAAAGCTATGTATATATATGTAATTGATATGCTGCGTATGTGTGAACGAGGATTTCTGCTTTGTAATTACATTTTGTGGATTAGTTGACTTGAAATCTGACAAAATTGCAAAAAACTTTGAAGGCGACATTTACTTTTATCAGCTTTTATCCGAACTGTCCTATCACAATGAAAAAGAGATAACTCGCTTACGAAAGATAATGGATCTTGAACCTACATAGTAGTATGAACAACGAACAGTCTGTGAGTATTTACTCTGGGCTTTAAGTATTTGTATAGGTGTAGATTGGCGCTACTAGTTACCTTATATACTATTGCCATAAACATATGTATGTAAATTTATATACTGAATGCGTTATGTATTATACGAAATAAAACAAAGAAATTATTTTTACAAGCATTCGGACTCAAATCTGACACACAAACAATTCATTTGTATACAAATATTAAGTAATTATTTTTTTTAGTATATTCAAGACTTACATTCAGCAATCAAGAGATAGGTGGCGATAACACAGCCACCGGCTAGAAACAAAACAAATGTCATAATTTGCAAATATGAGCAGCAATCGCTTCTATGCTTTCCCATCCCGGCGTGCTCATGTACAGCATAATCTCCTTTGACACTCGAATTATCATTATCGCTGCCATAGCTGCTGTCTGCTGCACTCTCACTCACACAGCCATCACTGAAAGCCGCCGCTGCTGCCAACGATGTGCCACCATAACTTTGACCCTTCTTCAAGAGTGGCGTCCGCTCGTTCGCATTCATAGTGATCAGCGTTGATTTGACTGTCGCTTGTGCTCCGGGAGATGGACGCGAGATGGGGGCATAAAACGAACCCCATGGCATCACCAAACGTTCGCTTTGACGTACAGCATCTTTGTCAAAATGAATAAGAGTTATTAGTAGAGTACGTAGTAAATTGAAACCAGTTATTAATTTGATTAGACGCCAAAAATTGGTTAGCAACGTTTCCAGCTTCGCGAAGAGTTCCTCATATCTCTGATCGTGTTCGTAATAGTTTATGAAATTGTCAATACTGCGATTGCTTAGCTGCAGTGGCATACTCGAACTGAGCTCAGAATTGTCACTGCTTGGCGTGAGAATATCTTTATGCCCACAACATCGTATCGCTATCGTCGAGGGCCGACAACGGAGCGACAATCTACTACATACAATTTGTAAATATTTGATGGGAGACATATGATACCGGCGAGATATCTTCGCACTGTGTGTTTCATATGCAAGTAAGCATTTATATAAACATATGTAATAGCGTAAACAAATATATATGTACGTATAACATATGTATACAATAATGTACAAAGTACATATATATTTGTTCCAGTTTTTGATGAAAAGATGCACAAAAGTTCAAGAAATATAGATAGAGACTGTACTTAATTATTGACCGCATTATCATTATGAATGAGATATTTATTTAGAATTTTGTTTGTAGTTTTTGTAAGAGTTGAAATTATACTCGGGGAAATACTCTCTTACATTGACTTCATACCGGATCACTTGGATCATGGAGTCGCTAAATCGAACTCTGGCGGCACCTTCGCTACTCATTTACCGGAGAGGGAGTTGTGGGTGGGAAGAAGCCGTTAGAGGAGAGGTTTCGAGCTTCTTTATGAGTAGTGGGCTTCTTTGTGGATTGTTCAAAACTTGGGGCAAAGGATGGTGGAGGGGTTTACTGTCAGGAGCTCTCCATTAACTCCACTTTTAGACTTCCTGACTATCCCAGGCCGAGGTTGCAGCCATTAAGGTAGCAATTTACTGCTAAATTTACTGCTCCGGAGTGCAGCCTCTTTCAGAGAAGTGACCATCCACTCAGGTAGCAGAGCGGCGGTATTGGCTAATATTAATTATTATTTGTGATAAGGCTGATATGGGTGCCAGGCCACAGCGGAGTCGCAGGAAACTGTAAAGCTAATGAGCTAGTAAGAAAAAGCATCTTAGAACCACTATCGGTAGAATGGGAGCGGGTCGGTGCCGGATCCTCTTGTGTAGGTGGACTTCGCCAGTGCTAGGCCACCATCCGCACATGCGCTTTTGC